CCTAAACCCTAAACCCTCAACCCTACTTACATGCACCCATGAGCCTTCAAGTGGGATGCGCATGAGTTAGAGCAATCGGGCGGCGGGAGGTTGTTGTGGGGTTGAAGGATCACATCCGTAGGAGTTACCAAAGCAAGTCGCCTCTGCATGAGGGACTTCACAGGAAGGTCCCAGCATGGAAGTTGCCTAAACCCTAAACCCTCAACCCTCAACCCTCAACCCTCAACCCTCAACCCTCAACCCTCAACCCTAAACCCTAAACCCTAAACCCTAAACCCCAATTGTGAGGATTTGAGGTTTTGGAAGGTGTGCCGATGTCGGCTCCTGCCTGAATGCAGCAAACCGGCTGAGAGGAGCCACCCTCAACCTCTTTGCATGGCCGTGTCCTCGCCCGAATCCCAGGGTTTAGGGTTTAGGGTTTAGGGTTTAGGGTTTAGGGTTTAGGGTTTAGGGTTTAGGGTTTTGGGCTTAAGGTTTAGGAGTTTAGGGTTGAGGGTTTGGGGTTTAGGGTCCCTCCCCCCCACCCACCCTGCCGCCCTCGGAGCATCTAAGGTTGGCGGCCCGGAGCTGACGGATTTCGAAGCCCTGGGCTGCTGTGAAGGAACTACAAGTCCAGCTACCATCATACCCTAGTAGTAGAGTGGGTAACCTTTAACCTTTTTTGGGTAATAGAATCCCCTTAGAACCCTAAAGGTTAACCTTGAGTTCCCCCAGGTTACTGGACAACTAAGATACGAGTCATACACGAGTACTTTGCCCAAGACAGAAGAGGAATCTCCACCATCCAGCTACCGCGACCCTGTCCTATATGGTAACTGGATTAGGGCTCCCAAACAGCAGCCCAGCTTCCTGGTGCATTGGGCAAGAGTGAGTGAAGATTCCCTCTATCAGCATAAAAAAGCACAAATAAGTTTATTGATATAGAGTTTTTTTAATACGTATACATATATATATATATGTACAGATGTATTGTGCGCATATTTTGAATACTTGTCAGGGGTCTACCCCTTCCGCTCTTCCCTTAATCATAGGAAACTGGGGGCGGTAAGTAGGAGGCTACCCTACACCCTAAACCGTCGTCCCGACAGCTTTCCACACTCTCCGTCACACGGGTTTAGGGTTTGGGGCTATGGGGTTTAGGGTTTAGGGTTTAGGGGTTTAGGGTTTCGGGCTAGTTTTAGGGTTTAGGGTTAAGGGTTCAGGGTTTAGGGTTCAGGACCCCCCCCCCCTTCCTTATGTCCCGATGACTTCAGCACCAGTCAGAAATCGGGGGCGAGAGCCAAGACTCAGGCCACGCAACGCGGGGCATGAAAGGTTTAAAGGTTTGGGGTTCAGGTTTTAGGGTTTGGGGTTTTAGGGTTTAGAAATTGGGGTTTAGGGTGTAGGGTTTAGGGTTTGGGGTTTAGGGTTTAGGTTCAGGGGTTGAGCGTTTAGGATTTAGGCAGCCCCTCTAAACCAAAAGAGGCACTCTCTCTATTCCCAGGTTACTCTTGGGTCTAGGGTTTAGGGTTTAGGATCTAGAGTTCCGGGTGTCTGAATCACATGAGGCGATCCTCTTGACTGTCACCTTGACTCCATCATGACACCGGTTGTGTTGCTCGAAGGTGTCCCTTTCCTGCATAGTACCGCCCTAAGCCCTAAGCCCTAAGCCCTATAACCTAAGCCCTAAACCCTAAACCCTAACCTAAACCCTAAACCCTAAACCCTAAACCCTAAACCCTAAACCCTAAACCCCAGACCCTAAACCCTAAACCCTAAACCCTGTTCATCTCGGATGTGGCAGCCCAAAGGCCCTTAGAAGCACGAACGGGTTGCTGTACAGATGCACGCAATTCGAGCGCAGCTTGGCAGGTCTCCAAGTCTTGTCCAGTCGCACTTGGTAGCCCGGTGGCACCCTTTTCCCTTTTATTGGGTTGTGGGCTTCCTTATACAATCACCAACCCAAAATGGGTTCCCTTATGATAATATGGTTACTGGGCTACCAAGAGTAGCATGCTCGACTTCGAGCATGCCCTCAACCATTGACCATATCACAACAGTTTGGGCCGGCAAGCGCCAACCGAGAGTGAGCATGCCAGCGTGTGGCCCTTCTAAACCCTAAACCCCAAGCCCCAAACACCTAACCCAAACCCAAACCCCCCCCCGCCCAACGCCAAAGCCTGCCCTAAACCCCAAACCCAAAACCCCAAACCTCAAAGGCTAAACCCCAAATCCTAAACCCTAACACCCCCAAGTTAGCTTTAGTTTCACGGCCACCTCTTCGTCGAGGGGCTGTGGGCCAGCCACTCCAACCCCCACCAGTCGACGCCCTGAGTTTTTTTTTTTTTCGTGGTTTTCGAGTCTTTATCGGAGTTTCGTTGGGGTGTTCGAGGCTTTTGGGGAGTTGTTGGGTTTAGTGAGGGTTTTTGGTTTGAGTTTTGTTGTTGTTTTGTTTTTTCTTGCTTGCTTTTGTGTTTTTTTTTTCGCGGGGGGGGGGGGGGGGGGGGGGGCTGAGAGCTTTTAGGGTGTTTTCTGTGTAAGTGCTTAAAGCTTACGGGGTCATGGATGCAGAGCATCCTCCGAAACACGGGTTGAGGGTATGGGTTGAGGGTAAACCAGAAACCCTAGACCCTGGGCCCTTGTTCTGCACCAACGGCGACGAATGCGGCTGTGATAGATCGCAGAGCTTAGTTTCTCAAGGTTTGAGGGCTTCGAGGGGTGTAGGGTTTAGGGCTTAGGGAAGCCCAAGCCACCATGAAGAAGACCATGAAGAAGCTTACAACCTTGCAATTGGCACGCCCCAAGAAGCGCCTGGTTCCAGGAGCTAGGGTTCATAGTGCTCAGAGCACCGCAAGGTGTGCCCCAAACCCTAAACCCTAAACCCTAAACCCTAAACCCTAAACCCTAAACCCTGGACCCTAAACCCTAAACCCTAAACCCTAAACCCTAAACCCTAAACCCTAAACCCTAAACCCTAAACCCTAAACCCTAAACCCCCACAAAACCCTGAGTCAATCGCCCTCGATGGCGGCCATGGCCGCAGCGGACACTTTGCAGAGGCGGCCAAGGGGCGTGGGGTGTAGGGTGTAGGGTTTAGGGTTTAGGGCGGGGTTGGGGTCTAGGGTCTATAGGGTCTAGGGTTTGATTAGGGTTTGGGGTTTAGGGTTTAGTGGGACTCTTGTTAGGGTTCTTCTAGGGTTTCAGGGTTTTAGGTTTTTAGTTTAGGGTTTAGGGTTCTGGGCTATTAATTAGGGCTTTAGGGTTTAGGGTTTAGGCAGGGTTTAGGGCTTCAGGTTTAGGGTCTCAGGGCATTTGGCGTTTTAGGGTCTTAAGGCTTTAGGGGCTGTAAGGGGTTTAGCAGCTTTGATGGTTTTAGGGTCTTACTAGCCCTTAACAACTATCCTGAAGCAGAACAGAAACATTAATCCCAAAAGCACTAAACCCTGAAGCCCTGAAAGCCCCAAAACCCCGAATCCTTAAAGCCCCGAATCCTTAAGACCCTGAATCCCTAACCCTAAATTCCAAACGGTAAATCCCTAGAACTTTAGACCCCGAATCCCTCAACCCTATACACCCCAAACCTAAAGCCCTACTCAAACCGCAAACCCCAAAACCCTAAAACCCTAACACCCTAAAGCCCTAACACCCTAAAACCCTGAAACCCTAAAGCAACAAACTCCGCAGTCACAATCCCCAACCCCAAGCCCTACGTAAACCCCCCAACCCTCAACCCTCAACCCTCAACCCTCAACCCTCAACCCTCAACCCTCAACCCTAAACCCTAAACCCCAAAGAAGCCTTCCCAGGGCCCGTCGAGCCCTCATTGTCGGCATCGACGGCCTGGGCTCGGCATTCTTGGCACCTTGGGCTGCTCCTGAGTAAGGTTCAGGGTGTTTAGGGTTTAGGGTTTAGGGTTTGGGGCTTCAGGGTGTTTAGGTTGTTTAGGGTTTAGGGTTTCAGGGTCTTCAGGTTGTTTAGGGTGTTCGGGGTGTTTAGGTTGCTTAGGGGGTTTGGTTTTTTGGTTGGGTTCGAGGGGAGCTTCTTTGCCGGTTGTTTTTTTCCTAAAAAGCTCCTGAACCCGAAGCAACCTTAAGCCCAGTGGAGGTTTAGGTTTTTAGGGTTTAGGTTTAGGGCTTCAGGGTTTGAAGTTTTGGGTTTAGGGTCTTGAGTTTAGGGTTATGGTTTAGAGTTTAGGGTTTTGAGTTTCGTGTCGTCTAGGGTATCCCCACACGCCAAAACTTTCAACCGCCCTAAAACTTGTGTAGCCCTACACCCTAAAACCCTAACCCACAAGCCTTCAATCCGCAATCCCTGAGTTTGTTTCAATATCCGTAAGGTGGTCCTACATTCTCAAAAGATGAGCCGTCGTCGTTTGGGTGTTGAAGCTTTCGGGTTGAGGTTCGAGGGTTTAGGGGCGTCGCCCTCAAGCCCAAGAATTGAATGGCTCGGTCGTTCTCCTGAACCCGTGGGCATGTTGCACGCGAAACGCTGAAGCCTCTACCCTAAATCCTAAACCCTAAAGCCCATACCCTTAGACCACAAAACCCCACACACCCGAAGGCAAGCAACCTCGTGCCCCAGGTTAGCTTAGGGACAGTTGATAGTTACAGGTCCTCCGTCTTACATAGGGCACCGGAAAATTTGGGGTTTAGGGCTTCGGGTTCAGGGTGTTGGGTTTGGAGGTTGGAGCGTGTGGTTTCGAGTTTAAGGTGTTGGGTGCCGAGGGTGTGAGTGAGAGTGAGAGTGCAAAACCCGAGGTTGGGCTTGTTGAGAGCTGGCAGCTGTCATGACGCATCATGGGCTCTTCAGCAGCGAAGGTCTACCCTCGACCCAGAAACATAACTCCTTGGAGGTTACTGTGTAGGTTTCTAAGAAAAAGGCAAAGTCCACAGCTTGTTGGGCATTTTGGGGAAGGAGTGAGAGACTCATGATGGTTGAGTGGGGGGTTTAGGGTTCAGGGGCGTAGGGTTTAGGGTTTAGGGGTTAGGGTTTAGGGTTCAGGGGTTACGGTCCCTCATGGTATGCAAGCGGCTGCACTTCGCCTGCCAAGCTCGGCACGGAAACGGCGCGATGAGCCATGGCAGGCACAAGCGACTGCCGTACATGCCCACGCCACAGCTGCTTGTCGGGTTATACTACCCTAAACCCTAAACCCTAAACCCTAAACCCTAAACCCTAAACCCTGAGCCCTAACCCCTGAACCCACACAAGCGGGAGGGCTTGCGGTTTAGGGTTTAAGGTTCGGGTTTGGGGTTTAAGGTTTAGGGTTCGGGGTTCTTTGAGTCTGAGGGTCTTTTGCAGGGTTTCGGGCAAGTTCGCCCTGAAGAGTTTTCTCTAGGACCTAGGAATGATGTGGCTTCATCGCCGATACCTCGTACGCAGACGCTCACCCTAACCCAAAACCCTAAACCCTAAAGCCTAAAGCCTACAGCCTAACACCTAAAACCTAAAACCTAAGGCCTCAACACTAAACCCTAAACCCTAAACCCTAAACCCTGAACCCTGAACCCTAAACCCTAAACCCTAAACCCTAGACCCTAAACCCTAAACCCCAAACTGCTTCTTGCGCATAGGAGCCTTTGCAAGGTTGGACTGGGGATTCCGATCCTAGGGCCACCGCAGTTTGGAGTGACAGAGTCATCCCTCAACTCCCTAAATGCAAAACCCTAAACCTTCTGAACCCCAAACCCTAAACCCCAAAGCCTAAACCCTAAACCCTAAACTTTAAACCCTAAACCCTAAGCGCTAAACCCTAGAACTTAAGCCCTATCCCGCGAGTTTCGAGCGTCCCCTGCATTCTTGCAGGCGGCTCTGCAAAGCTTGGAGGACTTGCTGGCGAAAGGGGCGCGGCTGGGTGTGAAAGGGAACCAAGTCCAGGTTCTTCTAGGGTTTAGGGTTTAGGGTTTAGGGTTTAGGGTTTAGGGTCTAGGGTTTAGGGTTTAGGGCTTAGGGTTTAGGGTTAAGGGTTCCGGGTTGTAGGGGGGCATTTCGGCAGGAGGCTTCACGGCCCAGGGGGATGAGACGCCCGCGAAGTTTGAGGTTTCAGGGTGCATCCTTGTTTCTGGTTTGGGTTTAGAATTTCGGGTGGGGTTTGGGGTTTAGGGTTCAGGGTTTAGGGTTTAGGATTTGGGGTAGGGTTTTGGGTTTAGGAACCTAAGCTCTGAAGGTCTTTGGATTTTTCTGGTAGCCAGGCAGGGGGGGGCTCAGGGTTTCAGCCAAAGGGGGATCTCCGGAGACTTTCAAACATAGGTCGTGACAGGTCACGGTATTATTGCGAGTTGAGGCCCTAAGCCCTAAACCCTAAACCCTAAACCCTAAACCCTAACCCCTAACCCCTAACCCCTAAACCCTAAACCCTAAACCCTAAACCCTAAACCCTAAACCCTAAACCCTAAACCCTAAACCCTAAACCCTAAACCCTAAACCCTAAGAGGAACGTGGGGTGGGAGAAAAATGTTGACATGGCTCTCCACAATGGGGCCATGGCTACCCTTCGCCTAGTAACCTTCACAGCTTCTGCGCCATAAGCCCTCAGAAGCCCTTATAAGCCCTAAGCCCTAAGCCCTAAGCCCTAAGCCCTAAGCCCTAAGCCCTAAGCCCTAAGCCCTAAGCCCCAAGCCCCAAGCCCCAAGCCCTAAGCCCTAAGCCCTAAGCCCTAAGCCCTAAACCCTAAACCCTAAACCCTAAACCCTAAACCCTAAACCCTAAACCCTAAACCCTAAACCCTAAACCCTAAACCCTAAACCCTAAACCAAACCCTAAACCCTAAGCCCTTGTAAGTCCTAAGCCCTCAGCCTAAATTAAGCCGTAAGCCCCCAAACCCCAAACCCTTAAGGTCAGGCTCATGAAGCTGCCCTCCTTTCCGGTCACGAAGTCGCAGGGTTTGGGGTTTAGGGTTTAGGGTTTAGGGTGTAGGGTTCAGGGTTTGGAGTGTAAGTAGGCTTGAGGCCCAAAAACCCACGGCTTCCCAGGTATTCTAAAAAACTTTCTTGCAAGCCCTAAGCCTTCCACCCCCCAAGGCTTCCCAGGTACCCTAAGCCCTCTACAGCCCCAAACGCCCAGACCTTCCCAGGTATCTCCATGCGCGCAGCTTCGATCAGGTGCTTGACCCAGGGTGGGGCTTGTTCCCCTGTTCATGAGATTCAGCTAAACCCCGTTAAGCGCAAAAGGTGTCGGGGTTTAGTGCCTGGTGTTACCCTACACCCCTAAACCCTAGAACTTAAGCCCTAAACCTAAACCTCAACGCGTTAGGGTTTGGGGTTTAGGGTTTAGGGCTTAGGGTTTAGGGTTTAGGGTTCCCCTGGCAGGTCCTTGGGCACCTCGGCCGGTGCTCTCAGTGGCAGCTGCTGCTTACTCTCCTTTCGGTCTTGCCAACTTGGAGGCTGCCTTTGCAGACCCTAGGGTTTAGGCTTTAGGGTTTAGGGTTTAGGGTTTAGGGTTTAGGGTTTAGGGTTTAGCTTAGGGTTTAGGGCTTAAGGTTAAGGGTTTAGGGCTGTAGGTTTAGGATGTAGAGTTTAGGGGTGAGTTGTTTTTTTTACTCTCGCCTGCCGGGCTTGAGGGGAGCTTGCTTCCATTCTTCAGGTGTCTCAGGGGGCAAACCTGGCTTAGGGTGTATGGCTGTAGGGTTTAGGGTTTAGGTGTAGAAATTCCAGGGTTCAGGGTTAGGGGTTGAGGGTTTGGTTCTTAAAAAGACCCAAGTACCCTACAAAGAAGTCTTACGGAAGGAGCCTCTCTGGGAAGCATCCTGGAGACATCCGCAGCCCCTGGCTCTATAAGCCCTGCTTAGGAGGCTCATGGGAACGCATGTACCCCCAAGTACCACCCTGAGCCGCCCTAGCCCTAAACCCTAAACCCTAAACCCTAAACCCTAAACCCTAAATCCTAAACCCTAAACCCTAACCCCTAAGCCCTAAACCGTAAACCCTAAACCCTAAACCCTAAACTCTAAACCCTAAACCCTAAACCCTAAACCCTAAACCCGATGAACGCCGCAGGCCGACGCCGGATCTTCTCTCCTACAGCCACGCCATTAGCGCCGCCGAGAAGGCTGGGCAGTGGCGAGTGGCTAGGCCCTTTAAGGGTTTAGGGTTTAGGGTTTAGGGTTGTTGGGAAATGTTTACGTTATCTCTTGGCTTTTCAATGTGGATGATGTTCAGGAATATGCGGGTTTCCGGATTCCGAGATTCGGGGTACCTTACTGGGGTCCTCCATATGAGGGAATCCTACTACCCTGGTGGTCCTTTTAGAGGGTTTTATTAAGGGGTAGCCGAGGTGGCACTCCAACTGCATTCTGAAGTTCTGGCTGGCGACCTCCAGCCGGATGTCGTCAGCTTCTCATCCTGCATCAGCGCGCTCGCACGCGGCGGTCAGTGGCAACCGGGATGTGCCCCAGGTAGGTCCACTGTGTTTTTTGTTGTTGTGGCATCTTGATCCTAAGCCCTAAATCCTAAGTCTTAAACCCTAAGCCCTAAACCCTAAGCCCTAAACCCTAAACCTTAAGCCCTAAACCCTAAGCCCTTTTTCCTGAAATGGGCTGACTGCGGGGCAGCCCAGGGAAAAAGCGCTTCAGTTGCTCTGGGAGATGCCATCTGCGGGCATCGAGGCAAACGTGGTCAGCTTCAATGCCGCCATCACAGCCTGCGAGAAACTGGGTTTAGGGTTTAGGGTTTGGGGTTTAGGGTTTGGGGTAGGCCCTCGTGATATTTCCTATTTCCCTTGTTGGGTTTAGGGTTTAGGGTTTAGGGTTTAGGGTTTAGGGTGTATACTTAGGATGTATTATTTTTCCCTTATTGGGTTTAGCGTACGCCCTTGGGAGAATTGTATGTTTCTCAGGGGGGTTAAGAGGATCATACTCCCTAAGCCCTACAAACACAAAACCCTAAACCCTAAACCCTAAACCCTAAACCCTAAACCCTAGACTCTAAACCCTAAACCGGGGCCAACCGAGGAAAGGCAACCGTTGGCAGGGGGCACTTCAGCTTCTCGAGGACCTGCTGCGCCTGCGTGTAGAGCCCACGTGCATCACGTGCAACGCGATTCTCAGTGCCTTGGCAAATTGAACCCTACATCTGGGGTCATATGCTCTATAATTTCTGTATACTACTATAGTTCCTGTGAAGGTATATGAATTGGGATGTTCCCCCTTGTATTAACAGTGCTTCATAGGGATTATTATAAGGGGGGATTGTAATTGAGGACTGCTATAGTATAAGGGGAACCCTAAACCCTAAACCCTAAACCTTAAACCCTAAGCCCTAAACCCTAAACCCCAAACCCCAAACCCTAAACCCTAAACCCTAAACCCTAAACCCTAAACCCTTTTTAGGGTTCTGGTGCTCCTCAAGGTGCTTGCGAGAAAGCCGGCCTTTGGGAGGATGCGCTCCATTTGTTTTCGCATCTCCCGGCCATGACCGTCCAAGCAGATACCTGGTAGCTGAGTGAGTACACTGGACAGTTTTTGGGATACTCTAGCCCCTTCCAGAACCGAAAGTGTACACCTTGTGTTTTGGGGCTTATGACCTCAGCAACTCAGGATACCGTTAGCTACAATGCCAGTATAAGTGCTTGCGCGAGAACGGGTCAGTGGCCGCTCGCCCTGCACTTCCTCTCGGGAATGTCCGTGGCATCGATTGCAGGAACGGTCGTGAGCGTCAATGCCGGGATCAGCGCCTGTGAGAAAGCCGGGCAGTGGCAGATGGCACTGCACCTCCTAGACAGGACTTGGCTGCTCTGAAGATCCGTGCTGTTTTTTCTACGCTATCTGCCTGCAATGGATGCTTCATGTCCCACATGTTTAGACCCGTCTTGCTCGAAGACCCTCTGAACCTCAAACCTTCGAAGAGGATGCCCCTGGCTCAGCTTTTGCCGGATCTCATCAGCTGCAATGCGAGTCTCAGCGCCGCTTGGCAACGCTTGTAGCCTCCATACCCTTAACCCTAAGCCCTAAACCCCGAACGGGATTTTCAGGCATTGGGAGTTTCACAGCTTCAGGTGTTCTTGAATGCAGGGGCTTCGGGTTCAGGATTTGGGGAACCTAGGGTGACGTTGCTCCGTAGGGTTTCAGGCCTTAGGATAATCAAAACAGAGCACCCTTAACGTGACGTAGTCTCCTAGTGAAGATCGATGGCCTCGCGAATTTCGATCCACTTCATTGCAGAAGCCTGGACATGGTAATGTAGGCCTTTTGTAATTATACTTAATACTCTTATCGCCCCCCAAACCCTACTTCCAATTATTAAGGCCCCTATATTAGCCAACTTGACAAGCCTGGGTGGCACCAAAAAGCCCCAACCCAATGCGAAACGCGATGGGGCGGGGGTACCCTATCGGGTTTGGGGTTTATTTGGGGGGTCCTTATTATAAGGTGATCCTACTCTATTTGGGGGTCTATTTTTGGGGTCCCCTAGTTTTCGTAAAGCCCCGAAATGTTCAGAACAGCCGAGGCCTGTGAGAAGGCCCGGCAGTGGGAGCAGGCCCTTCACCTTCTCATGGTGGGAATGGCTGGCCATAGACACTTCGCCGGGTTTTGAGGGGCTGGGTGTTCTTAGCAAACAGCAGTATGCCTACCGAAACCCAGTCTTTGGCTCCAAAGAAGCTCAGAACCCGAGGCCTTTTCTGAAGGCCCTTCACCCTCCAAGCCTCTGAAAGGAGGGTGTGTGGTGCTGACTGGTGCTGACTGAGGAGTTGCAAGCGACGTAGTCACCTGGAATGCTGTGATTCGGGCGAGTGCGGGTGGTGGACGCTGGCTGCTGGCGGTGGGGTTGCTGTCGGGTGTCCAGTTTGCTTCTAGGTGCGGAAGCCATTAATCCGGTTTAAGTTTTACTGTTTTCGGTTGTCTCAGGTGTAGGCAGGTCCTAGGGACATTTTTTTCTTGTGCCTTAGGCTGGTTGAAGAGGAACTTCCTTTGAAAGCCGCGCTCTAGGCTACGGTGCAGGCGGATGTGATCACCTTTGGGGCCTGTATTGCGTGCTGCGCAGAGGATGGCCACTGGCAGATGGCGGTGCAGCTGCTGACGGAAATGCCGGCAGCCCGCGTTGCGGCCAACGCCATCAGCTTCAACTCGTGCATTAGCGCCTGTGAAACTGGGGCTCTTGTTGAAGGAACTTTAAACGTTGAGGTGCTTAAGTCAACTTATCACAAGAGGGCTACCCCAAACCCCAAACCCTAAACCCAAAGCCCTAAACTCCAAATCATACCCTGTTTATGTTTTAACAAGAACCCAGGAGAAAGCCGCACGGTGGCAAGAGGCGCTCCTGCTGCTGTCGGACATGCCCAAAGCCGCATTGCAACTCGGCTCTTCTCTGTGAGGTTTGCCTCTGTGGGGGAGTTGAGGGTTTCGGGTCTGGCCCTAAACCCCAAACCCTCACCCCCAAACCCCAAAGCCCAAACCCCAAACCCCAAACCCCAAACCCCAAACCCCAAACCCCAAACCCCAAACCCCAAACCCCAAAGCCCAAAGCCCAAACCCCAAACCCCAAACCCCAAACCCCAAACCCCAAACCCCAAACCCCAAACCCCAAACCCCAACCCCAAACCCAAACCCCAAACCCCAAACCCTAAACCCTAAACTCCAAACCCTAAACCCTAAACCCTAGACCCTACCCACCTGAGGGTTCAGGGTGTTGCCATGCTTTCGTCTGCCTTGAACGTGAGACTCAGCACTCAGCACATGGGAGAGCCACGAAGCCTCACAATCCGGTCGATTGTCTACCCTTTTTGCCCCTATCCCCGGTTAAGGGTTTAGGGTTTGGGTTTAGGGTTTCGGGTTTAGGCGGGGGTTTAGGGTTTAGGCGGGTTTAGGGTTTAGGGTCTTCGTGTGACACGCTACGAATCTGGAACCTGGCTCGCCGAGGCAAGCGGACAGCATCAGCTTCTCGGACACTTTCTAGAACCCAGAGTAGGCCTGCATTCCTGTATGTTTAGGGTGCAGAGGTTCCAGAGGTTCCCTTACGAGCCCGTTTAAATCAACAAGGGCAACCCCTGTTTTCTACTCTTTTGGTCCAGCTTTGCATGGTTCTCGGAAGCCTGGATGTCGATGGTCTCCTTCTTGAAAACCTCCAAAGGCTTTAATGGGTTGGGACCCTTGAGACCTCTCAACCCTTAGACCCCCAAACCCCCTAAACCCTAAGTGCCGAAACGCCTAAACCCTAAGCCCGAGCCCCCCAAACCCCTAAACCCTAAACCCTAAACCCTAAACCCTAAACCCTAAACCCTGATGGGAGATGGGGGTGGAAGGATGGAGGGCTTAGGCTCAGAAGTAAGGTTGCTCGGGCCGCAAAGGCCCAAAGGGAAAACTTCGTTTGGGGAAGACACCCTGGGCCTGGGGCTTCAAGGGCTTTGGGTAAGTCCCCAAACCCGCAAACCAGGAGGCTTATAGTCTACTATAGGGGTCGGAATAACCACTATAATGGTATTCCGTGGTCCTTATTTGATATTTCTACTATAGTCGCCCCCCCCATATATCAAGCCTCAAGGCGGAATGTCCGCTCAGGCTTCAATGCCAGCATCAGCGCTTGCAGCCAGTCCTCGCGATGGCAGGAAGCCTTGCAGATTCTTTGGGCGATGCCTGTGGCCAAGGTGGCGTCTTAGGGATTAGGGTTTAGGGTTGAGGGTTGAGTTGTAGCGCTAAACCCTGAACCCTAAACCCGAAACCCTAGACCCCTAACCCCTAACCCCTAAACCCTAAACCCTAAACCCTAAACCCTAAACCCTAAACCCTAAACCCTAAACTCTAGAAGGGTCAGGGTTTAGGGTTTGGCATGTCCAAGGGTCTGTAGAGTTTTAGGGTTCAAGGCATATGCCCGAACTCCTAACAAAGCCCCTGACCCGTAATCCGCAGTCCGGGGGGGAGAGTGTGCTTGGGGTTTTGGGGTTTGGGGGTTTTGGGGTTTTGGGGTTTTGGGGTTTTGGGGTTTTGGGGTTTTGGGGTTTTGGGGTTTTGGGGTTTTGGGGTTTCGGGGTTTCGGGGTTTCGGGGTTTTGGGGTTTTGGGGTTGTGGGGTTGCGCTGGGTTGCGGGGTTGTGGGGTTGTGTGGTTGTGTGGTTGTGTGGTTGTGTGGTTTTGGGGTTTTGGGTTTTTTGGGGTTCTGGGGTTTTCGGGCTTTGGGGCTTAGTAAGGGGAAGTGAGGTGGCGGCAGATGTTACGAGCTTCAGCGCCTGCCTGGGAGCTTGCGAGCGCAGCGGTCGCCTGCTCTTGGAGAAGTGGGGTCAAGGTTCGGCTTCACGTTTCGGTTGCGAAAACAAGCCTTCAGAAGCAGCAGCCAGAACCCTAGAAACCCCACATCCTATACCTTGAACCCCAAACCCCAAACCCCTACACCTGCTCACAGAACCTAACTCTAGACTCTGATCCGAGGCCAGTGGCAGTCGGCATTGCTGCTGCTATCACGAATGCCCGCTGCCCGAGTTGCAGCATTCCGCACACAAACAGTACTTGTTTAGGGCTTCGAAGTTTGAACTTGGGATTCAGGGTTGAGGGTTTAGGGTGTAGGGCAGTTTAGGGCTGAAGCCAGTTCAAGGATGCCTTGTCAGGCTTTCATGCTCCAGGTGACCTACTGGAACCACAAAAACCACAATAAGCCCTCAATCCTGAATCTAAACGCCCGCTGGCCTCAATCCAGAGCCCTCAGTCAAGAATTGTTCGCGCTACCCTAGGCCTGAACCCTAAACCCCAACCCTAAACCCTAAACCCTCAACCCCAATTCTAAACCCTAAATCCTCGACCCTATACCCTATAAACCCTAAACTCCAAGCCCGAAGCCTATGATTCCCCTGTGACGGTTAAAGGTTTCAAGTTTAAGGGTTGGGGTCTTTGGGTTTGGGGTGTAGGGCCCCACGTTCGGTTTTAGGCTTTTGGCTAGGGGGATACTTGAACGGTTCATGGATACTTATATATCCCTACTTGTAAGTACCCATGAACCTCCAAGTACGTAGGGCTTAATGTTGGGGTTGAGGGTTTCCGGAATTTAATAATGCAGTGTGCTTCCCTCGCCTTCTTGAAAACGGCGGGATTGGTTTATGCCGTTCCTTCGTGGCTTGACCTGTCTCCAACTGATGTGATCTCTCCTCGATTTTGTTCGTGTACCGTGCTTGACTGCCAAAATTGTTTGGCGTTGCTTTGAGCAAAAGATGCTGAACAACCCGAAAACGCGATAACCGCAGTATCTCATTCCTGAAACTCTACCTCCATCCCGGCGATGTTCTTTACCCATGAGTCGCTTGTATTGAACGAGAAGTCACAGCTTGCCCGACTTCTGTTGAAGCAACGTCCATCATGAGTTGAGCGTTGAGGGTTGTAGTTCTTTGCGTATGGTGCAACGTCCAAAATCTGCACTAGGGGGTTGTCTCTTGGAGAAATACAGTGAACTCCTCCTCCAAAAAGTTGGAACAGTCTTATCCCCACACCCCAAAAGGTACGTCAAAGGAATCATCATCCTTCAACCACGTTCCAACTTTCTGGAGTTTACTGTAGGAGGCAGTTTGGGTTCAAGCCTGTAACTTTGCAACAAGATGTCTGTCCCAGATCTCTGGAAGGATCCCAAGAAGTAGAACCCCCAAGTAGTACCAAACCCTAAACCCTAAACCCTACACCCTAAACCCTAAACCCTAAGCGCCAAACCCCAGACCCCAAACCTCAAACCCCAAACCCCAAACCCCAAACCCCAAACCCCAAACCCCAAGCCCCAAACCCCAAACCCCAAACCCCAAACCCTAAACCCCAAACCCCAAACCCCAAACCCCAAACCCCAAACCCCAAATCCTAAACCCTAAACCCTAAACTACTATCGGAGGGCTCGTCAGGCAAACGTGATCAGCTTTCTGGCGGCCTTGGGGGCCTGCGAGCGCGATGGCCGCTGGGAGCTGGCCCTGCAGGTGCTTTCAGCGTGGCCGGGCTCAATACTTGGAGGTTCAGGGTACTCATAGTCTTTAGGGTTCAGGGTTTAGGAGTTAAGGTTTTGGGTTTAGGGTCCAGAGTTGAGGGTTTAGGGTTTAGGGGGAAAAGGTTTCTTATGAACCAAGTACAAGTGCAGTTATAACCCACTTGTAAGCCCCTCAAGTACCCTAATAGGGTTAGAATTGGGTTAGAAGTACAGTTGTACCTGGGTTACTAAGTAGCTTGAACCTCCAAGTCGTCTCCTTAGGAAAGACGGTTTTTTGTTTTGATATAACCCAGGGAAATATTGAGCACCTCATAGTTCTGACGACTTCTAGAGGTGTGTGGGCCCAACCCGCGTTTAGGGTTTGGGGGTGTAGGGTTTTGTGGTTCGTGTTTACAGGAGGACTGCTGAGATGCCGGTGCTTCTTCTCGGCTTTCAGAGCTGTCTGTTCCTGACACTACAAAGTTTTCTGTGGGGGTTCAGAGCTCAGGACAATCGAAAGCCAGGATTTCGGGTAGCATCTCAACCTGAACCCTTCAACCCTTCTAACGCCACCTGAAAACCCTTTAAAGCCTTTTCAGGCCCTGCACAACACTTAACAAAACTACGAAAACCCTGGCAAGTCCTGCAAACAAACTCTTGGGCCCACGCAACCCGAAACAGGCATCCTGCTCCAGCACCCTCCTTGGCATAAAAGTAGGGTAACTGTGGCCATAAGTTAGGTAACTCTTGTTATGACCTTCTTGAGGGAGCTTATCACCCTGCTTACACGTACCCATGAACCTTTTAGTACAGATCTGCGTGGAATGAGTCCGCTGGCAGATATTCTTGCAAAAGGGCTTAGGGTTTTAGGGTGGCCTGGGGTTTAGGGCTGGGAGGGATGCTTTCAGGCTTCGTGCCCGCAGGATGCCGGCGGCCAAAGTTCCTGCCCACGTGACGACCCTGAGCGCATGCGCCTGGGCGAACATTTCAGGTGCGAAGCCCTAAACCCGCAACGCATCTTCTCCTGAAACCCAATACCCTCAACGCTAAGCCGTAAGCATCCTAGGGGCACGCAGAAGCCCAGAACTCTCGGAGCTGGATCTAAATTCATCATTTCAAATCTCACAGCTTTAAACCAAGAAGGACCCCAAAGGCAACCATACTTTAGAGAAGTGACCACATATTACAAGAACCCGCCTAGGTCCTGAACCAACCCTAAACCCTAAACCCTAAACCCTAAACCCTAAACCCTAAACCCTAAACCCTAAACCCTAAACCCTAGACCCTAAACCCTAAACCCTAAACCCTAAACCCTAAACCCTAAACCCTAAACCCTAAACCCTAAACTTTAAGCTTTAAACTTTAAACCTAAACCTTAAACCCCAAACCCTATGAAAACAGGCATCAGCGCGGTGGCACGGGCCCAGCAGTGGCAGAGAGCACTGGAGATCCCTGGCTCTGTTTGGGCAAATCGGGGGGTTTTAGGTTTGAGGTTTTAGGGTTTAGGGTTTAGAGTTTGGGTGAAGGCTTCGAGTTTGGGCAAGTTTGAGGGAGGGGGGTTGTCTTAGGGTTAGTGTCTTGGGGTGGAGGGGTTTAGGGTGAGATCTTGGGATTGTGAGGTCTACAGTTTAGGCTGTAGGGCTGCCTCGGAAGAACCCTCGGAACCGCCAGCTTTGACACCGCCGCTGCGATACCAAGACCGTCTCGGATCGTTGTACGGTTTGAGGCTTACAGGGTTTAGGGTTGGGGTTTTTTAGCAGTCAGGATCTACTGGCGGCTTGTGTAAATGCCTTTTCCAGGACCCAGAGCGGGCTCGTTTTGCCATGTGTTTTTGGGTGAGGTTCCCTAGTCAAATTTAGCAACATGGTCTCCTTGGTACTGCTAGGTTACTCTGGGGCTTAGGCATGCTCTTTGATGATCCTTATTCTAAGGAAGTATAGCAGTGAGCTGTATAGGATTTTCTGAGCAGTCAGGTCTAAGTTTCAAGCTTGACCTGAAGGTCTAAGCCCTATGAAGCCAAAACCCTAGCCC